TTTTTTTTGATATGGGTAGATTGGTGGATAGACAGAGTCCTAAACTACCTGTAAACATATAAGTATATACTTATGTTAAGGACGGAAGAGTAGTTCCTTTGCCAGGGTAGAAAGTGGGAGGCAGGAGGCAACCTTTTAGGGTGCTGGAGGATGGCAAGCAATGGGAAGCATGAGAAAGAATGCCCAGTGCAGTATTATTTCTCAACTGGAAATAACTCAGATGGCCCTCAGTGGTAGACTGGGTAGATATATTAAACTATGTGATATTCGTAAGTACAATACAACATGTGGCAATGAACTATTCCTGTAAGCAATAACATGAGTAAATCTCACAATCTGAGTGAAAGAAAAGCCATTTGTAAAACAGTTGAAGAAGACTATGATTCTGTTCAGATGAAGTTCAAAAATAGGCAAAATTAGCTTTAGAAGTAAATTGGTCACCTTTTCAGAGGACAGAAGGGAATAGAGATTGAAAGGAGGGAGGGTAGGGGCACTTGTGGTATGGCCATGCCCTTGACCTATGAGGTAACAGTATCAGCATTTGCCTTGTGGTTTCGCATTTTGCTCTATATTTACATTCTGTGCATACCTGAAAGGTCTATAGCTACTAAGTGAGTTGCAACATTTATATGTATTTTCCTGTAAAAAAAAAATAAATAGCCTCTTGACAAAAATGAAAAAATAATTTTTTAATATACTACTTTTGCATTATACACTGATTTTTCCATATTAGAAAATTTTCCCTATGTAAAGTTTAAGTTTTTTTCTTTTTAATATTTAAAAAGGCATACTTTCAAACTGAGACGCATCCATAATCTAAGCTTTCTGATCTTTTGCTGCTTTGGTAGCAATTTATCAATGGTAAGCATGCTTTTAATTTTTAATTTTTAGTTCTTTTTAAAAACACATATCTTTGGGGAAAATAAAGAACTTGTGATTCCTTATCAGGTGACAGGCAAGCTCATTAGTAAAATTTGACTCCTTCCTTTTTTAGATACTTTATTTGCAGCAGTTTAGTTATTGATACCCATTTTCTGGTTTGGCATTCATATTTGTACATCTGAAGCTTATTATCTTTGCAATTTTCAATGAGAATCCTATCAATCTTTTTTCTTCTAGTATTCACTGAAAATACTTATCTCTAAGTAAAATTTCTTGTTGAGTAAAACATTCTCTCTATATTTTGTTCAAATAGGAGATTTTGTATTAATGTACTTGTCCATATTGTTTCTTTTTTTCTAGAGAAAATCCCTTCATGAAAACAAATTGAAGAGACTGCAGGAGAAAGTAGAAATCTTAGAGGCAAAGAGAGAAGAATTAGAAACAGAAAACCAGGTGTTAAATAGGTACTGTGTTTGTATAAATGCATATCCCATGTAGTGACTTTAATATTATAGAGCTTTGATTCTGAGTATAATGCACTTTGTTTTCTTTCAAACTATATGTCTAGGGGTGCCCAGGTGGCTCAGTTGGTTAAGCATCCGACTCTTGTTTTGTTTTTGTTTTTTTTTTTTTTTTTTTGAACATGTAACTAATTGTCATTTTATTTGCAATTCCCTAGAGTAACAATGTTGGGCTTTTTTTTTTTTTTATGATTAAGTTAGCTAATATGCAGTGTGTATACAGTGTAGTCTTCTTGGCTTTGGGAGTAGATTCCCATGATTCATCACTTACATACAACACCCAGTGCTCATCCTAACAAGTACCCTCCTCAATGCCCATCTTCCATTTTCCTTGGCCTCCCCCCCTCAACTCCCCACCCGCATCAACCCTCAGTTTGTTCTCTCTGTATTTAAGAAACTCTTATGGTTTGCCTCCCTCTCTGTTTGTAACTTATTTTTCCTTCCCTTCCCCTATGGTGTTAAGTTTCTAAAATTCCACATATGAGTGAAAACATAGGATGTCTGTCTTTCTCTGACTGACTTATTACACTTAGCATAATACCTTCCAGTTCCATCCATGTTGTTGCAAGTGGCAAGATTTCATTATATTTCATCACCGAGTAGTATTCCATTATATATACTTACCATGTGTTCTTTATCCATTCATCAGTTGATGGACATTTGAGCTCTTTCCATAATTTGGCTATTGTTGAAAGTGCTGCTGTAAACATTAGGGTACATGTGCACGTATGAATCAGCAGTCCTTTATCCTTTGTATAAATTCTTAGTAGTGCTATTGCTGGGTCGTTAGGGTAATGCTATTTTTAATCTTTTGAGGAACCTCCACACTATTTTCTAGAGCGGCTGTACCAGTTTGCATTCCCACCAATAGTGCAAGAGGGTTACCCTCTTGGTTTTGGCTCAGGTCATGATTTCATGGTTCGTGGGCTCAAGCCTCTCATCGGGCTCCATGCTGACAGCACACAGGGCCTAATTGGGATTCTCTCTCCCTCTCTCTCTGCCTTTACCCTGCTCACATACACTCTCTCTCTCTCTCTCTCTCTCTAAATAAAGAAAATATATATGTTTAAAAGAATTCTTTTTCTTTTTTAATGTTTATTCTTGAGAGAGAGAGAGAGAGAGGGAGACAGACATAGAATGAGTAGGGGAGGGGCAGAGCGAGAGAGGGACACAGAATCTGAAGCAGGCTCTGGGTTCTGAGCTGTCAGCACAGAGCCTGATGCAGAGCTTGAACCCACAAGCCGTGAGATCATGACCTGAGCTGAAGTCGGGTGCTTAACCAACTGAGCCACTCAGGCGCCCCACATTTAAAAGAATTCTAAAACTTTTTGTTATATTCCCAGTTCATTATCCTTGTTATTCATTTATTTATTTTTTTCTGGCTGAATATCCCTTCAAACCAAAACACATGCCAGGCATTTTGTTATGGTTGGGACTCATAGGAAAGGTCACTGGCTTTGGTAGCCAGGAGTGGTGTGAGTTCTTAATACTGAAACAAGATAGTTGCAACATTGCATAGTTCCCAAATGTGGCTAGAACTGTGAATCAAGATTTTTGATTTCTTGGTGTGAAAACATATTGAGCCTAAATTCTGGATTTTCATTTACGTTACAAACATAGCTAATAATCTGCATAATTAGCGTTTTTTAAACAGAGACAATTTACCTTATTGACTCAGTAGTAGTGGCATTGTAGGGCCTATTGAAGTTAATAAAAACTTTTTGGGGTGCCTGGGTGGCTCAGTCGGTTAAGTGTCTGACTCTTGGTTTTGGCTCAGGTCATGATCTCACAGTTTGTGGGATTGAGCCCTGTGTTGGGCTCTGCACCAACAGTGCCTAACGTGCTTGGGATTCTCTCTCTTCCTCCCTCTGTCTCTCTCCCAAAATAAGTAAATAAACTTTAAAAAAAAAAAATAAATAAAAAATAAATAAATAAATAAATAAATCAAAAAAATTTTTACAAGTTCAGCTAATTTTAGTGGTAGCCTTTCAGCATTTAGAAAGTGTCAGACTTTTCTGTAATGGAAATTGGCTGTTGATGTTTTATAATGTGCACTGGACATTCTTGAGTGTAATTATTGCGAAATGGGAACAGTTGTTTTTTTAGAACACCTGAAGTTTATAGACTGTGGAGTTCATGCCAATTTCATAATACTGTGTTCCAAAGTAAGAAGCCACCAAATTCATTCTAAAACAAAATTCAATTTGCTACGTCTTCTATAACCATTAATTTTGAAATATTATCAAGATTGGGTGAGTATGGCACAGATCATCTAGACTTTTGAGTGGTTTTGAAGACTATATTTTATTACTGATGTGGTTGATGGTCAGAAAATTCATGTCCAAAAAGGTGATGATATGTAAGGGCCTGAAAAGTTACCTTTTTTATCCAAATAGTTTTCCCTAAAGTGGGTAGCTTCATCCCTGTCATTAGCAACGGTTTTAAAAATTAGGTTGAACAATATGAAATTTCATATATTTGACCATATTTTACCTATAAAAACGGCAATGTCCTAAGATTCAACGTAGTATTTTCTCTATTCCTATTTGATTCCTTCTGTAAAATAAGGCACACTTTCAGGATTCATGGGTTGGGGGAGTGGAGTGCAAGTGAAAGTAAAAGTATCAAAAGATTTTTAATCTTTGATTAATTGGCAAGTAAAACTTTAAAATGAATTGATAGCCTGCAATGCCAACAGTTATACATGTGATTAAGATGTCATGTTTCTGTTTACTTTTCTAGATAAATAGAATTTTATGTATGTATTATATACAGATAAATCTTAGAATTTTGAAGTCCTTTTCTTCCAATTTAAAATTATATTCTGTGAATCATCCTGTTTTTCAATACAGTATAACTGTATTAAAGAACAGAAACACTTTCTTTCTTTTTTAAGACAAAATGTTCCATTTGAAGAATATACAAGGCTTCAAAAAAGACTAAAGGACATACAGAGAAGACATAATGAATTTCGAAGTTTAATTTTGGTTCCTAACATACCTCCAACAGCATCCATCAATCCTTTTAGTGTTCAGTCATCAGCCATGGTTCCAGGCATGGACTTGTCGTTTCCTCCTCATATGCAGGTATGAGCATTTACGTTACAGAAAAAAAGTCACTAACATTTCTGTTAATTTTTACCTGTTTAAATTCAGAGTTAAACATTCATATCTTTCTTTACCATAGAAATTAGTGGGAGAAACAAAGTGGATTTGAATCTATTCTGTCCTTTAGTGATGTTGCTAGAAGTGAAATCTACTGGGCAACTGAAAAGAAAAAACTTAATCCATGGGTCTTTGACTCACTCAACTACTACTAAGCATTTACTAATACTCCGCACTATGCATTTTCCATATGATATTTTATTTAATCCTAATGGAAAATACTTTGAGGGAAGGGTGTTATGATTCCCAATTTATAGATAAGGAAGCTGAGTCAGAGGGGAAGTGACTTACCTAAGGTCATAGGTAATAAGTGACAGAGTTGACTATCAAATATAAATCTGATTCCAAATTCTGGGCTCGTTCTACTGTATCAGGTCCTTGAGATAGTGAAGGAATCAAATTGATTGGATGGTTTTCAAAAGATGAACTGTTAATAAGTAATTATATTTGATAATATTGTAAGCACCAAAGATTTTAGTCACTGAATTGAATCTCAGACCAAGTGCTTTATTTATAATGAATTGCTATTAAACTCCAGCCTTGTTAGAAAGTAGGCAAGTGAGTATGCCTGGGCCCTGAATTGGTATTCTTCTAATTTACTCCCTGGTGAGTTTTACACCTAGATAGGAGAACAGACTTTGTGTTTTGCTTAAGGCTAGAGCCTGAGGTGGGAGAGAAACAAGGACTAGTTAGTAGTCTAGCCCATACTGCTGTGTTCTTAGATTGCTGAAATGGTTATCCTTTCCTTGCCAGATCTTCTAGGGCCTGAGTAAAAGAGGCACCGAGGCTGTTGCCTAACAGTTCTTTTTCCAGCTATTTTTCTGGTTTTTTTGTTTTGTTTTTCATTTTTGGTGCTTTTAAGGAGGAACAGCATCAAAGGGAACTCTCTCTACTTCGCAAAAGACTAGAAGAACTAGAAACAACACAAAGGAAGCAACTAGAGGAACTTGGATCTCCTGGGGAATGATGTTCATGGAAAAAAGATCAAAAGGGATGAAATCACTGTGACTCAATAAAGCTTGAAGTTTTAACGTATGTGGCATTTAGATACTGTATTCCTGTTTGCCAGAACATTTGTGCCTCAAGAAAAGGTACCAGCTACATGATACATTGCATCAGTGTCAGGACTTTAGGATTATACCCAGGATAAGTGAAACATTAAAACCCCTTCAGAGATGTTTATTTATTGACAACTCTTTTGAGAATGTTAGAAAAGAAAAAAAAATTAGAGAATCAAGTTGTTAAATTACTTTATTAATTTCACTTGTTGAATTTTTTTTTTTTTTGGCATTTTACCTGGAATATGCCCATGTTTGATTCCTTCTGCCACTTTGAGATGCTTGGCAGTAACGGGCAGTAAACATTCTGCAGTTTACCGTATACAAGAGGTCTAAACCTCGTTCTGGAAAAAAAAGAAAAAAGTTTAAAGGCAGCATTAAAAAACAAAACTTCGGGACGCCTTGGTGGCTCTGTCAGTTAAGCGTCCAACTCTTGATTTCAGCTTGGGTCGTGATCTCACTGTTAGTGAGTTCGAGCTCTTCATTGGGCTCTGTAGTAACAGTGTGGAGCCCGCTTGGGATTCTCTCTCAAAATAAATAACTTAAAAAAAAAAAAAAAAGTTAAGACGTGTAAATATACAATGCTACCATTCTAAAAGCTGTGTGCATATAATTAAAGAACTTAATAAATATTTTTCTACATTGTCTTTTAATTTTGAGCATACACTCGGTATTTAGCAATGTAGAAAAATCTCAATGTTATTTTCTATTCTAACTGAAAACCACAAAGTACAAATAATTAAATCCTATGATTTAATTTGTTGTGTAAAACAAGGGCCATTCATTGTAAAACTTGAACCCACTGGGGTCCCTTAGCGGTAGTGTTGCCTCCTACTGTTTGGGATCTAACCTAATTATTACAAATGTCTTATCTCTGTGTGTCCCTAACCTCTTTTTAAGGAAGTCTGCTGCAATAACTTCACATCAACAAGGCAAAGCTCAAATCCTCCAAACTAAGTGGAATGTTCATTATCTGGAAGTCTTTAGGATCAAAGGTCCAGGTAGATAGTGGAGGAGCAGTGCCTAATACCATGTCAAAGAAACTGGAGTCAGTTGCTGCATTACAGAACCGCTTATTCCCAGACGCAGTGGCACCTTGTTGCTGAAAAGTAATTTCCATGGGGCCACTTAGAATTTAAAAAATCTATTATAATAACTAGAACATTTGAAGGAAAACAGAAACAGGCCACCTTTACATCAAAATGTTTATTTTTGGATATAGACATTTAAAACATTCATCTCCAAGTACAGCTTCAATCAGGTATACAATAAGAAATAGACTTTAAATCCCTAATACGGAAAAGGTAACAGAATTAATTTTTAAATGCTGCTGTAGACACTAGTGTTAGAAAAAAAAGTTTATAAATGAATTGTTTGCACCAAAAAAATATGCAAAGAAACTTGAAAATAGAAATTGTTTGCCATTTGTTTCTCTGGTTGCTGTTTAATGTAGACCCAGTGACTGATTGTCTTCAGCACACATCTAATTTGGCCATTTACTGTATTTGGCTAATGTGATCCAAGATGTGGTCTAGATCGTGCTTTTCACTGGAGGATTGACAAACACGCTACATACGTTAGTGAATCTTCACACCACCTCAGTGAGGTAGGTTAGAAATATTATACAGAAATTGAGGCACAAAGAGGTAAGTGACTTGCCCAAAGTTCCCAGCAGCATAGCCCCTGGAAGAGGAGGTAAGGCTCCACACGGGACTCTTGTGCCAGAGAGCTGGACAGGGACACCCTCACGTAGCATTTACTAAACACGTAGATAAAGCTGTAGCTGATCCTTTTCATAGCATTTCTGTACCCTAAAGAAGGGGAAGTCTTTTGGGCAACTCTCCTACCCTTGGCTCTCAACTGTCCTCCTGTTAGTCTCTTACGAACGCCTTCACATCAAGACTGAGGCAGCCTCACGCGGGGAGCAGACCTCTCACCTTGATACTTGTAAGTAACCTATTTGGTAGTATTTTTGAGGTGTGTCTATTGGACCGACAATGGTCAAAAGTGATGGGATTGGGAAGGTACCTATCAGGGCAGTGACTGCTTATTTGATCAGTTTGTTGAGGTATCACCTCTTACTCTTTGCCAGATATTGAGGAGCAACAAGAATTTCATTTTCAAAGACAAATTCACATTCAACTCCTGATATCCCATACAGTGTTGGTAAATGATTTTAAGGACTATATGATGAGTGTTTTATTTGCTACTTGAAAAAATGTCTTTCCTTAATCTGGGATTTGGAGCACCAAGGGTAAAAGGTGCCACAAGGAAAGTTGAGGGTTGCCAATCACATTTTTTACTTTTAATAGGAAAACACAGTGGTATTAAAATTGGTCATGAGCAGCAAAAATTCAGGAATAAAAAATCAGCAATAAAAAGACTACGGTAGAACTGGACAGGGAGTTCTTTAAAAAGAAAGGCATGAGTAAAATGAGTATTTTGAATTCTTTCTCTCGTGAGGAATACTTTCAAAAAGTACATAGTAAGACTAAGATACCAAGTTGTATACTAATATTTTTCAGGCCTTGGGCCTCAAATATATATATATTCATATATAATACTCCAGTGTGAACAGCAATTTCATGAAATGTAAAATTTTTTTTTTGTTTTTTTTTAAATCACACACAAGTATTTATAACCACAGGGTTCACCAGAAATCTAAAGCAAGGAGACACTAAGTACAGAAACGTAGGATTAGGGGAGTGAGTTACTCTTCTACAGATAGTTTTGATCCAAGGTTTTAGACAGAAATAATGTTTGTTTGTTTTTTTTTTTTTTTTTTACAATAGCCAACATGTCCACTATCAAATACATTTAGTATGAAAAAATGAAAAAAAAGGGAACATACATCAGGACAAAGTGAGTAAAATGCTGTTGCATTTAAATAAAGCCTCCTCACTCTCCTTGCTTTAGAGCTCCTTAGTGAAACGGAGGTGAGTCTGATGGAGTGCAGTCCATGACCACTGAAAAACACGAGCCCTTTCAACAATGTTGCAACACTGTCAGTTTTTGGTTTAAAAACACACACACGCTCACGAATGCTAAGTGTACACACTACCAAATTCTGCGGTCAGCTTTTCCAAGAACTACTGGGGAAAGTTTCAATGCTGCAAATCCTCGAGGTTGCCCTAACACCTCCACCTTGTTTCCAAATGACTCAGTTCACATTTCCTTTTGATCATTGGCAGTGTCCCCTTTCTGCAGAGGTGCAGTGTAGTCACAAGTGCTACATAACTGTAGTTTTCAAACAAAACCACTTACATCATTGTGCTTAAGTGGAGAATGTAGTTACAATACTGACACTTGCTTACTGGCCCTGTATTCTCTGTAAACAAGGAGGCTGTTTGCAACAACCACTTCAACTCTATTTACAGAAAGGTTCCTACGGTATATGCACAGGCACAAGGTTGGTATGCTTTCTAAAAGCTGTGCATGTGCCTCCGTCTCTAAAAGACAGTGCTCAAAGTGGAACCTATGTGCAAACTTTAAAAAGTAACGACACAGAGTAGCTCAAGTAGCCATTTTGCTCCCAAGTCGTCTGAAGAATTTTGCCAGATTAAGCCAGTCCCCAGAGTGCTTACATCCACTTGCATTTCTTCTTTTCATCAAATAAGACTTTTACATGCAAGAGTTGTTTCTGAGCTTCTTCCAGCCCTCGTTCTCTTTCTAGTTTATTTAGAATCTGTTGACAATTAGAACAGTTATTTTAGATATTGTGATCTTAGCATTAGATTTCGATTTTTTGGGTTTTTTTTTTTTTTTTTTTTTTTTTTTTTTTTTTTTGCATTCCTGATGCCGTGAGTGGTAAAAATCTGTATGAAACAGATGCCAACATTTTCTTCGATCATTTACATACTCACTTTGCAAGTTGTTTTGCTAAGTCATTATCACAGGATCAACAACACTTTGGCTTAAAATAGAAGCTAGCAAGAAATACCAACTATTTGCTTACAAATATGGGGCCAGACTTCCAAGGCCCTGGTTTATGCATTATGTCACAGCCATTCCAAGCACAGCAAGCATTCTGGGCAGCCAACATGCAGGCAAGTATTTCTTCTTAAATGCAGCAGGCAGGGGCATCCTGGTCAGAGTTGAATATTTCCCTCCCCTCCCCTCCCCTCCTGGGCAGTGTAGTGCCTCCTCTCCCCTCCTCCCCTCCCCAGTGCTTCCCTTCTAACCCCTGGCCCCTGGAAAGAGGGATGCTTATCATGTTTAAGGAACTCATTGCCTCTACCCTACCTTAGCGCTTCACTTGATCTTCAAGTAGCAAATGGAATTGGTGAGCTATTCTCACCAGTGACATGGATAGCCTGTCCCAGCATGACTGAGTGGGGGGGAATCAGGGAAGGGGGAATTAACATATATTTGGAAACAGCGCATCTGATGACTGTGTCTGTGTGAATTCCCAAAGAAAAAAATCCAGATTAAGGAGAATTAATCATAAAGGAGAATGGTTTATTGAAATAGTTGCTTAAGTTAGAAATATGTTATACTTTCATATACCTGTTGAACACAGAATCTAGGCAATTGAACAAGCTTAGCTTTCATTTTAGCAGATTACAATCAAGCATAAGCTGGCCCTATTTAATAGGACCACTACTTACTCATCAAAGTTATATTGAGTCAGTGTGGCTATAGACCCCATGAACTCAAATGTAAATTCAGGCCGGTCCAAAGGCGGGCAGCATGATAAAACCGTAAGGGGACAGCCACGTGCAGGGTCTGGCTTGGTGCCAGGATCCCCCATCTCAGACAGGCTCCCTGGCTTCCCTTTCTGGCCATTAGGGATGCCAGAGCTGTCCTGAGACCGGTAGAATGCTTTACAACCAAATCCTGGCGACTGATTCGTATCAATTTTTTGAAATGTTATTTAAAATCTTACCTCATCAAAATATTTTACGATGTATTTGTAAATTTCTGTCAAGGCCACTTCTTCATTAAATTCATTTTCATGTTTCTTAAAGAAAGAAAGCCTTGTTGAGAGATTCTGAAATGACTTTTCAAGACAGAAGTAACAAATGTTATCTTATTTCTACTTTCTACCAATACCTTAGATTCCTGAGTTAAGAATTCTTCCATTTCCGAAGATGACAATGGAGGCAAATCCCTGATTGCTTTGTAATAAGATTTTACTTCCTCTTTGTAGGTTGGGATATCCTTGGCATAGAGAAGTTTATTAGTTGGTGCTTCCTACGAAAACAAAAACAAGCATCCATGGCCAGGAGTAAAACACCATGGGGAATTTATAATAGTAACAATGTAGCTGAACCTCCAGCACTATCACCACCTCCTAGTAACCAAGCTTTTTCATGCAGTGGGCCTTCATCAGTGTTGTTGATTGAATGACTGACTGCTATCCAGATAGTTCTGGTGAGTCACTGTTCTTTTCAGGCGAATTAAATGCTAATATATTCTGCCTTCCTCTCATAAAAGAGCTAAAATTATTATTTTTGCATGATTTTGAGTTACTGTAACAACGGAACTTATTTCAGTCATAGTTCATTACTAATGGTTGTAAAAAGCCTGAATTAAAACATTTGCTCTCATCTTCACCCACCAGTGAATTTTGGCATTTATAAAAGACTTGATTGTAGGTCTGATTGAGCCCTTTATGTAACAATGAAAGTGGTAAGTAGTTGGCGGTGGTGGATTTTTCTGCTTATCCCTTTTATTAGATTATAAAGATCTTCTAGCATTCTCAAGGAAGTACATGGTCATTAGTGCTGGGGGCCCTGATGTCTGACTTCACAAAAGTTCCCTGTCAGTTTGAATGTTTTTATGTAATAGCTGTAATATAAAAAATTGAGGGAAAAGTTTAAAAATTCCTACTCAGGGAAGATAGCTGAGTTAATGATAGGGCTAATGTCCTGGTACATTTTTAAATGTATTGAGGACATGAATAGCCATATCAATGGCTGAATCATTTTGAAGGATGCTGACACTGAGATATTACAGAGATTTTTTTGCACTTTTCAAGTGTAAGTGAAACCCACAAATCCTGTGATCATTCATTCAGTAAATGTATTTAGCTAGGCACTGTGGCAGGCACTGAATGTAAAGAGTCAAAGACGACCAGTACCTGCCCTTAAGAAGCTTCTAATCTACTTGGGAAGACAAACTTAACACAGTGCTTACTGTGATACCAGTAATTAGTAGCAGAGTATAAAGAAAAGCGCTGTGGAGTTGGACAAATCAGGGATCATCACCAAGACTTGTGGCCTCCCAGAACTGATGTTCTGATTTCCTCATCTATAAAATGAGGGTAATACTAACTACCAAGAACATAGTAATCACAAGAACCACATAAGGTATAGTTCAGCTAGTCAGTTAACCATTTTTTACTGTGAATAAATTAAGCATTTTAGTGTCTTCCAGTGTGTTTTTGTTGCAGTGGTCAAATGAAGAAAGGGCATGGGAAATGGAGCTGGAAAATTCACAAAGCAGGTATATTTAGACTGATCATAGGCTCCTATAGTTTTTGGTACACATTAAGAAGTCAGGTTTGTTGAAGGAATGAATGAATAAGTAGGGTGTTACTAGAAGAGAGGGGTTATGAGACAGGAAAGGGATACGAAAACACGTTCATGGTAAGTTTGGGAAAGGTAAAGCTGTAGCGTAGAAGGTATATGGAATTTGCAAGAAAATGAGGCGGCCAGAAAAGAGACCTGAAGCCCAATTAGGAAGGGCCGTGTGGTACTGGGAAGATTTCACCTGGCAGGTAGTGGGAAGTATTTATAATTTTTAAGCAGGAGACAGACAAGATCAGATTTAAGCTTTAGATAATCTGAGACACAGCGAAAACAAAAAGACAGCACAGGCAAGGAGACCAGTTCCGAGGCAGTTATATGGGTGGAGAGGGGCTGAAGGGATAGGGCCAAAGAATGAGAAAAAAGACATTTTGGAGATGGCAGTGGGCAGTAACCAATTAGGGGAAGGGAGGAAGAAGAAGGCGTTGAAGATAATGGGAAGGAGTTTACCTTGAGAGACCAGGCGATGCTAAGAAGACAAAAGTAAAGACAGGTGTGTTTTGCAGAAATCGTGGTGAGGGTGAGTTTAGATTCAGACTAGGAAGCTGAGGCACCTGTGAAACATCAACCACATTTTGCCCCAGGCACTCTCTCAAATTCCATATACCAAGGAGACACTGCTCAGCACTGAAAGACTGCCTGAAATCCATTCGGTACAGATACTGCTCAGTTTAATACATTTGGAGTGCTCGAATAAGACCAAAACATCCCTTTCAGAGTTTGCTCTGTATTTTTATCTTTCTTTGCTTTCCTGAGGCTTTTGCTCAGCAAAGAAAACTGTAGGAAAAACAATATTGATGTTTTGATTATGAATTGACAAACTGGTGGTGGTAGAAATCTCAGGCAAGATTTTCTTACCCATGAGCAATTTGTTATATTCAAATAGACTCTTAGGTGTACAGCTGATCCTTGAACAACATGGTGTTGAACTATGTGGGTCGGCTCTTACTCTACGTGGGGTTTTTTCAATATAGTACAGAACTGTAAATATAAGTCTTCTCTTACAATTTCCTGAACGTTTCTTTTCTCTAGTTTATTTAAGAATACAGTATATAGCACATATCACATGTACAAAATACATGTTATTTTGACTTTCTATTAGTAGTAAGGCTTCCAGTCCACAGTAGGCTATTAGTAGTTAAGTCTTGGGGAAGCCAAAAGTTACAGATAATTTGTAAGTACATGGAGGGTTGGCACCCATAATCCTCCATTATTCAAGGATCAGCTGTATTCAGATGGGATTAATTTAGCTAAGCAAATTTCTGTAGTTTCACTTTGGGTTTATAGTTTATAATTTGTGGTAAAGGTATTTACAGGCACAGTTTTGCAGTAGAAAGGGGATAATAGTCTATTTTGGTATTCATTAAAAAAAAAACTAGATTAAAAGTAAATGGGACAGCTTTTAAAGAGAAGCAGATCTTCAGTGACTACCATGGACTATTTCTTTTTAGCTGCTGTGGTTCAGACCAATTGTTTAGAAGAAAGAATGCTTCAGACTCACAGGATGACATGTTAAGAGATACTAAAACCAGGCCTTACCTTCCCGAGTTGCTGCTCTGTGAGAGAAAATGCGTCCATGAAGGCCTGGGCAATCACAGATAAACAGCCGTCTATGTGTGGTGTCTTCTTAATGTCAAAGACAAACTGAGGGTTCTTCAGGATGTTTACCCAGAAGCGAAGAGGAAGGCTGTTCCGAGAGAGAAATCTCTTTTCAAGTATAGCCCTTCGTAGGAGGCAGATGCTCTGTTTATCACAGTTTGCATACGGACGTTTTTGCCCTTGTTATTGAAGTATGCAAGTCTGCTTTGCCAAATATACCAAGCAACAGATGGCAGCACCACTCAGAACAAGAAAGGGTTAACCTGACAAGCGCCACTGAAGGGAGGACTAGAACGGGAGAAATTCAAAGGTGGCCATTGACGAGAATTTTCTCCCGATAGTTCTATTATAGCAGGCGACGGTTGCCCATGAAAACGTTTCATCACGTGTCTGGAACCTGACCTCTTCTCACCCCCTCTAAGTGCCACACCCTGGCCTAAGCCGCCTGCATTATTAGCCCCCAGCTCTCAGTTGTCAGCCTCAGTTGTCCCACAACTATCAGCAATCTTAACACAGAGTCAGATCAGGTCTCTCCTCTGCTCAGAACCCTCTGTGCTCTCCATCCCCCTCGGGATAAAGCCCCTGCGTGATCTGGGCCTGGGCCCTCATCTGTTACTCTTCACCTTTTTCATTCCAACCCACCGTGGGCCTCTTGGCTGGTCTTCATGCATCCCAGGCAAGGCTGCACCTCAGGACTTCTGCCCATCTTCCAGAAACTGCCTTTAGCCAGACAGTCTCAAGGTGTATGCCCTCACCTCTTTCAAGACCTGACTCAAATGTCATCATCTCCTTGAGGCCTTCTCTGACCACTGTCCTGTTACTCTCTATCCTTCTTTTCTGCTTTGTCCACTGTACTAACCTTCTAATATACTACTAATTTACCTATTTATCATCTCTTCCACCCATTAGAATGCAAGCTGTCTGAGAACAGGGATTTTTGTTCAGTTTACTGTTACATCTCCAGCACCTAACAGTGCTTGGCATATAGTAGGTACTCAGATACTTGAATATGAACTTGGGAATCATTCAGAGTCCTTCCATTATCTCAACTCTGGCCTAGCAAATTACCTCCATGATAAGGATGCTGGGCCTCTCCTCAGCTCTACTGTCCTGGCTACTGCCCCTGCTCAGATGCCACCCTCTTCACAGTGAAAAGGGGAGCCTACAGCAGCAGCACCTGGGATTAAGAGGCTAGAGCACAGGATGGGAGGGAGCCAGGGTAGATGCTGGGACAGACCCGGATTCAAGGGGAGAAGATGAGACCTAGAGCTCTGGCACTTCAGCTTGTAATACTTCCTTAAAATGGTCTGTGGACCCTCAGTGTTCGGGAGGGCTTGCGATTGTGCCGGAAAGTTCTATCATGTCTTAACACCGAGTCTTACTCAGTTCATACACAGAACATTTCAAATAGAGGTAATGAGCTGTTTCTTTACTGAGGAGAAATTTAGAACAAACCTGGATGCCTTACCAGGCAACCAGGTAAAACGTTAGAAAACAAAACAGTCCTTTGGCTAATTCTCATGATATCTGAGTACTGCACTTGCTCAAATAAAAGCAGAAATGTCTATGTAGAATCAGAATTCAGACAGTTTGGTAACTGCAAAGGGATTAAGTATTCTCTAATGGAAAATTATATAATAAAACCACAAAATACTAATTTCTCATCTTTTGCCGGTCAGGTTAACATTCCTTACAAGGTCTTTTTCATGCGTTAAAGATAAGGTTTGTTTATGTTATCCTAAAGAATAGGATCACAGCATAGGAAGGGTTTTGTTCTTGTTAAAAAATAGTAACAGAGGACGAATCTGCTTTGACATGATAGCTTACCAAGCCAAAAGATTCTGATCTAGGGATAATGAATCCTTCTGTAACTATCCATGCCCTCCTTTCGGTTAAGATTCTGTCCCAGAGTCTTGAAAACAGTCAGTAATCACATACTGTTTGTTCCCACCTGTTTGTTTTCCAAATATGTACGACATCAGGATCTGTGATTTTTTTGTTTTCAGCCTGGGCATCCAAAAAGTCAAAAAAGTATTTTATAGCAAATGGGGCCCTGCTGTTGGGTAAACTCCAAATGCTTCTAAAAAGTTTTTCAAGCACAGAATGAATTGCCACCTGAAAGAGAGCATCAGACGTGGGAGATTTAAAAAATAGGGTAGCAGTTTTGAATACAATAGAAAATGAAATGCCAGTTCAGAGAAAATGATGTACAAAACAGAAAAAAAACCTGAAGAGAAAATATGTAAAATTATCAAATGAGGCCAACACTCCATGTGGGTCAAGCATCCTGAAAATCCATGCCCAGGTTTAGGTTTAGTCAACAATGAGGGTATCGTAGAAGTCTCCAGCAGTTGAAATATCAGTTGTAGGGCTACGTGCATAGATCAAGAAGCCATGGATGTTTAGCTTTTATTAGTTATGTTCAGCCTAGAAAAACTCAATGTTGCTCTGTTCCCACAATTGTTCCTGTTGCATGTATTTCCATCAGAGGTTTTTATTCTCTACTTTCCAAAGCATCTGAGTGTTTTACAAAAGACAAATAGGCAGATCTCTGTGGGACAGATGAGAAAATCAAGAGGCTCTGGCTGTCCTTTAGTCACTAAACAAATTTACTGAGCTCTCAGCATACCCTCTGCTATAATCTGAAGAAGCATGCCCATCAGGAGACCAGGGCCAGGTGTAGATAGATAATAGCATTTATACTGCTAGTCATTTCAGGGGGAAAAAAAAGGATCACCACAGACTTCTGTTAATCTCACTAAAAGCCAGATAAAGTAAAATTTGCTTCTGATTTGGTATTCCAACAGCTTTCACATCTGACACTTTTACATGTGAACAGAATTCTTAACTTTAAAGTGGAAAAATAAAAAAAGATTTAGTAGGTTTGCCGTCACTGACCCCACCCTTCATTTTATTTGCAATTCAAAGGGAGTTTTATTGCTCCTCTATAAGAACAAATAAAAACGAATAATTACACCATGAACCTAAAAAACAACAATAGTGAAATGGTGGGTAAAGGACTGGGAACAATATTAAATCCCTGATTGAAGATACTACAGCCAAAATTTGTAAAGTGCCATTATCTTTGCAGTTTCTAAAAAGAAGGGGAGGGTAGGAAGTGTTTACCATTTAAACTTTCATTTTGCTTTGCTAGAAGGCACAAGGGATTTGTAACATTTTCACACTTCAGTGGAAATTAAGTCAAACACATCATACACCCCCAAGGTAGCCATAAAAGCACTCCCAGAACAGTTAAGTGTACCTTGGTCGACAGCAGCTTTGTCAGATACATTTCTTTTACTTTGAACTTGTGCTTCCCTCGATGTCTCTTTCCTTGCACATCTTGGAATGCTTCCGAATCTGGTAAAATCTAAAGGGAAGACAGACTAGAAGCGTTACCCAAGGAGACCGTTCATGCTACAGAAGGCATCCAGTTCAGCGGCAAGCACAAGAAAGACTGAACTCACCAAATGGCAGTGGTCTTCTGAGTATTCCACATCTGAATGCCAGAGAAAGGGGGAGAAAACAGTCTATTAAAAAAACAACCACGGGCTAATTGGCCTTCTCATAAAATGCCCCATTTGTGCTATAAACAGAAGAGGTTACTTGAGCTCTTCACAGCTATTTTTTTTTTTTTTACCCTGTTGCATCTTAAGATCTTAACAACGTGAAGACCAAACGGGCCAGGGAGTAGGAAGCAGGTTCCCTATTCCTGGAAGTATTAAAACAGGCTGAATGATCCTTCGTTGGGTGAGTAGGAGAGGTTCAAGCCCCACTCATGAACAAATGTACCTGGGGGCATCTACTGAGTGCCAGGGGCTCCTAGGCAAAAGGCAATCTTAACACAGACCTAGTTACCCCCCCACCCCAGTGGAATTTACATCCTAGCCAATGAGAGACTTCATACTATTAATTATACAATTATTTAACTACAACTGTGATAAGGCTCCTGAAGAAGTATATGCTAAGAAAGTAACTGACAAAGGCCGGCCCTACTCTGGGAGGTCTTCCAGGGGAAGGGGTGTTGGAGCTGAACCTAAATGAATGACTAGTTAGCCAGGCAAATGGAAGAAGGGGAATGGGTGCAAAGACCCTAAGGTGGAAGGAACGTGACCCCTCCTGGGATCTGAAAGAAGGGCAATGAGTTGGGAGTTTATAGAGCAAGTGTGACAGTGACACAGGGTGAGGACAGTCCTGAAAGAAATGTAGTAAAGGGAATGGTAAATGGAAAAGAAGGATCAAGGGACTAGGTTTTTTGTTTTGAAGATGAAGGAGACTAGAATACCTTGAAACACTAACAAAAGCTGTAGTAAGTGGGGAGGTATAGAAAATTTAGGTGAGAGAAGATTGTCTGTGGTGTAAGAATGCTTGGAAGGTTGGAAATGATGGGATTGAAGACACAGGTGAGAGACTGGCCTTGGATAAGAGGAAGGAAATCCTGGAATGCTGGTGGGGGTGGGAAGGAGCACAGGAAGAAATGGGCAGATGCAGGTAGGGTGGTAGGTTTGGTGCTAGATGTTGATGGAGTTCTGATTCCTGTTTTCTCTGTGACGTACAGGATCAAGTCTGCTGCTGATAGAGCCATGTAGGTCAGAGCTTTGAGGAGAGAAGGCAGAATTCTGGAGAACACAGAGTGAGTTACCTAGAGAAATTTAGTGGGTGTAGGCTGCATTGAGGGTCCCAGTCATGTTGGGCACCATGAAATTATAGTGACTCCAAGCTATGCTGTTGTGTGCCTTCCTCCAGTGGCTGCCTGGATATAGGTTTAGGAAAGGCTAGTATTGGGTTCATCCAGGGCTGGGACATGACAGAGAGGGTAGTAAACAGGGGACAGGGACAGGAGAAGGTGAAGGGTTAGGAGGAGAGTGATCAAAATAATGGCTCTCAGCTGAACTGGACAGGGAAGAAACAGAGACGTTGACTGCCTTGAGGTCCCATGAAGAGATCCAAATGTGAGATCCCTGATCTTTGAAGCTTAAAATACAAAGTTCTACTTTTTTATAACACAAGGACACCAATTCCCTATGCCAGAATGGCAGCCACCCTCTGCAAGATGGCTTCTCTCACTAAATAGCCAGATCTAATGATGGACTGTGAGGTTCCTCACAGGGGTTTCCTACAACCTACCAAATTATCCTTTCTATTTAACTGGGGGCCCTGCATTCTCTGTTTGTACTGACCAGGTATTGGGACCTATGAGGCCGCTCCTAGTATTGAATCTAGGAATCAGGAAGCCTCCCCTCCAGTTATATGTGTGAAAAGTGCTGTTGGTAAGGCCCAGAAACTTTCCAAGGGCTGGGGACAGAGTGTCTTAGCTGGGGTATCCTTTCTCTGGAGACAAACCTAGACTGGGATTTAGGGAATTTCTCAAGGCACCGTCACAATGCCTTCCTTTCCTGAGACCATCAGGGAGGTGGGTAGAGAGTTTAGAGGCTAGCCCATTGACTTTCCCATAAAAGCTCCCCATTTAGTTTGTCTCACTCCGCTTTCTGGGAATTTTGCAGCTGCTATCACAAGGAGATTTGGATTTCTAAGTGGATTATCTTGTTTGTTCAGTGCTTGCAGGGCTGTGTGATTATCTACCGGCTTCCCTCTCAGTTTGCCAGAGGGGTCTTCTCTGTTAGCCCCCATCCTACTGAGGAGTTGGAACAGAGCGAGGAAGGCTGAGATTCTGCCCTGAGTTCAGGGCTGTCAAGAGGCAGCAGCTTCCTTTCTGCTGGGCAGTCCAGCCAACTGCTATTTACTGGTTCCTGTCCTCTTTTTTGCAAAGCTCACGTTCTTAGGAATAGAAACAGATCAAAATGGCTTTTCTCCAATTTCAGAGAATTACATAGAAACAACTCAATCTCACTTTTGTGACAATACATCTGAAAGAGGCAAAAAACAATACTTTATATAAAAGTGGGTGAGAACAAAAGGTTAACATTATATCGGTTACCTGTAGTAAAATTTGCTATCTTCTTAAAGACTTTTATAGTGGATCCATTTGATATCTGAAAGCAAAGATAAAAAATATATGAGTTTTCAAAATTTAATACATTTCTCAACTTCATCCAGGAATTAGATGGCTGGCTGGATCTTGGCATTGTCTCATTTATTAAATATTTATCAAGAACTTCTATGTGCTGGAAGTTGGAGCTATAATGGTGATGAAGACACTGTCTCTGCCCTCAAGGAGCTCACAGTCCTGTGAAGGACATAGACAAGGCAGTGAGATGCAGTGAGGCTGGAAGAGGGGGGGGCAACACACCATAGGGCTAATGGGAGGTGGGCCAGCCCGGGCAGAGGGGAAGACAAGGCTGTGTTAGGAAGTATCCCAGCGTCTCAGAGGTCAAAAGAGGCTTGGGCCACTATGTTTTTGAGGTTCCTACTGTATTCAGAAATGCTGAAACAGGTGTTCAAAGCTGTGTTAGCTACAGCTGGTGTTTACCGTATCACAGAGCAATTTCACATCCGGGTATATATCCAACAGAAATAAGTGCATATCCTGATAGCAAACTATATGCGATTGCCCCATACTGGAAACAACCACACATCATCAATGAATAAATAATTTGGGGTATGTCCATACAACAGAATATAAAGAAGTGAAAAATGAGCAAATTACTGCTCCATGCTGCATGGGTAAACCTCACAGTGGTAAGGTGCAAAGAAGCCCAACACAGAGGAATACATACTATGTGATTCCAATCACGTAAAGCTAAAACAAACACAAAAACAGTCAAACTATGATGTTAGATGTTTGGACAAGAGAGCGGGGTTAGTGATTGGGAGGGGCCTGGAGGGGGCTTCTGAGGTACCCATAATGCTCTCTCTTGACCTGAGTCGTAGTTACAGGGTGTGCTCACTTTCTGATAATTCATCCACTAGTACACTTATGATTTGTTCTCTTTTCTGCAGGAATATTGTATTTTTAAAAAGCTTGCAAAATCATAAAAATTGCATATACTTTTAAATAAAAACTTTACAATTAAGTATAACTTATAGGAAAGCACTTCACATTCACTAATATTAAGTATACAGCTTAATAAATGTTAAGTATACACCTGTGTAACCACTACTCACGTGAGGATAAAAATTGTATTTCAAGGTCCTACGAAGAACCCGTTGTCCCCTCCCAGTCAATAACCACCCCATCCTCAGCCAGAGATAACCACTATTCTGACTTCCATCTGTTCTTGAACATCATGTAAATGGAATTATATAGTACAGCTAACCCTTGAACAACATGGGGGTTAGGGGTACCCGCCCCCTGCACAGTTGAAACTCCACATATAACCTTTGATTCCCCCAAAACTTAACTGCCTACTGTTGACAGGAAGCCTTACCAATAAGTCAATTAATACATATCTTGTATGTTGTATGTATTACATACTGTATCCTTATAAGGCTAGAGAAAAAAGTATTAAAATCGTAAGAGAAGATACACTGACAGCACTGTACTGTATTTACTGGAAAATATCTGCATGTAGGTGGGCCTGCACCATTCAAACCTGCATTGTTCAAGGGTCAACTACGAGTGTGTGTGTGTGTGTGTGTATAGGTCTGGCTTCCTGGGGTCATCTTAAGGTCTGTGATGTGTATCCACACTGTTGCAGCTACAAGCAATTCAGTCGTTTTAAAATGACTTTGCATTATTGTGTGAATATATTACAAAAAACTGCCATACACTAAAGACAGAAGTATTGACATGCTGCAACATGAACCTCAAAAACAATTTACTAGGTGAAAGCCAGCCACAAAAGACCACATGTTGTATGATCCCATTTAGATAAAATGTCCAGAACAGATTTATGCACACAGAAAGTAGATTACTAGCTGCCTAAAGCAGGGGTCAGAAGAATGAGGAGTGACTGCTAATGAATTCAAGGTTTCTTTTGGGGGTGATGAAAATGTTCTAAAATTAGATTGTGGTGATGACTACACAACTCTGCAAATGCACCAAAAACCATTGCATTGTACATTTTAAAAGGTGACCTTTATGGTATATAAATTATATCTCAATAGAGCTGCTAAAAAATTGCCACAGATTTTAAATGTACACAATTTGACAAATAAATGCCTTTACCACACTGACCCACTACTGCAAGGCCCGCGCATACCCTCTTTGTCTATCAAGTCAGCAGTTCTCACCTGAGGCCTTTCGGGACTATGGAAGCCAAGGCCGGATGGCCCTCCAGCGCGGCCCTCCCCCACAACCGACTGGGGGAAGAAGGGTCCTTGAGGCTAAGGGGACTAGGTGCTAAGAAGCAGGGGGCAGGCCTCACTTCTTGTGAGGAGTAAATTATTCTGAGAGGCTAGTCCACAAAAATGTAAGACAAAGGAACCCTGAAGAGAGGCAAGTCAAGGATACACAAATCCTTGCCTTCATTCTGGGACTATGGAGGGAGGATTAACCCTGTCTTTTCGGAACATGGTCAGCTGAGTGCTTTTTCCCTCCACTCTGAAGTCCTCAGTCTGGTCTGAATTCTAATACTACTTTGGACCTAGCCTTCCTCCATTTGGAAAAAAAGTAGAAACCTAGAATTTCTCTTCTGGCCTGCTGCGCATTGGTTATCAGAGTGTACAAACCTGCTTAGAAAGTGCCAAAGGATTAAGGTCTAATCTTCAGGTTGCACCCACAGAGGAGGGAACACGGGGCGAGAGCCAGCCCTGCAGAGGCCCTGAGCACAGCCGTCCAGCCAGCTGTGTCTAGTCAGCTGCTAAGTTTAGACCAGAGGCCTCCAACTGCTGGTGTTCACATCTTGCAGGGAGGGGGAACGCTGGGCAGAGGCTGGCTGGGCCATCAGGTCTCTGAAAAGTGTCTCCAGCTTGGACTCTTATTGAATTCTTCGACTCTGCTGTTATTACCAAACCTCCTCCTCTTTCCCCTTGAGCCATTCATTGTTTTCTGGCTGCTTTTTCCATTCTCCTCCACATTTGATGCAATTAAAGTAAACACTCTGTGCAGGCACCCTCTTAGCAACACTCAGACACCAAGTTTATGAGAATGTTTGAACATAGTTCTAAAATTCCTCCCCACGAAGAGCTGGATATGCTCTGTTTCTAAGCCAATAAATATCTTTTTATAAAAGGAAGCTGGTGATTCATTCTGGGTAATTGTCAAAGAATGAATCCCAAATGGATCCTGTTGAGTGTTGAGCCAATACTCCACTACCGTCAGACGCTTTGTTTTGCTAAACGTGAGCACCCTTACCCTATAATCACAAACACCACGGATGGGCTTTCCGATAAGCAGCCCTGCCAAAGGTTCAAATGTCTTTTCAAGAGCTGGCAAGGACTCACTGCTGGCACTGTGCTCAGGCATTAAGATAGCGCACACGCAGCTTGTACCACGGAAATTTTATTCTGAAATTATCTCCCGAGAGCAAGTGTAAAAGCATTTTATTAGTGGTTGAGTTGTGTGTGTGTCTGAGCATGTGTGTGTGAGTGTATTTCTAACTTTCACAGCTGCTCTGGGGCTGGAACATTTCCCCCCACGTGACACTTTAACACCATCGTAAGACAGAAACTAGTTCACTTACAGATGTTTGGTGGGGGGATAAGGTTTCCATTTTCTATTTTGCACAAGTCAGCTGCTGCTGAGTTAAGGACAGAAATGCCGTTTTGGAAAGTGCCACAGAATCTAAAGTGTTAAAAATATGATACTGTTTGTTCCATCTGAGGAGCTGCAAATGCTGTCCTGAGAGTGACTCATTAATCCTCCTGTACTCCTGTGAGGCAGGGAGCGGCCTCTGGGCCCCTACTTTAGGAATGAAAACCAAATTAAATCAAAGAAAGATTAATGTCACTAGATGGATCTGCAGCGGGAATGTTTCTCCAGCCCAGAGCAGAACTGGTAGCGCACGGCAATTTCAAATTAAATTCCTCCCAGTCTCACAGTGCTCCAGGATTCAATGAGACAAGAAGGCGATACCCCTTCGATGATGACTGGCCCATGTTGGAACAAGGTAGAGAAAACCGTAGACCCCTCCATTATCAGAATTAGGAATTGTGACCGCACAAGGCTAAACGGACTCAGGTCGACAATTTAAAATCGCTCCTGAAATCAGCAGGAGGTACACATCCTCCAAATCACGTGCAAGCCAAGGTGGGACTTCTCTGTGGCAAAACCCTATCCTTGTGGCATGAGTTGAAGAAAATTCCGTAAGGATAGATTTTCTAGATATAGAAGATTGAATTTATATTTAGTCTTACAAAACTGCCATTTTTTATGGGTAAAAATGGTCAAATGTTGGTAATTTCATATTGCTTAGTCTAAGAGGAAAGCTGGAATTTCAGCCTAAGAATTGTATGGAAAATTATGAAATATTGTGATACTTTTTTTCTTAAACTGAAAACACAGTAATCAATACACATCACCACATGGAAACCCTTACTGGTATCCCTCATTCCTAAAATGGTATTATGTGAAAGCAGAACTCTATTCAACCAGCGTTGTCCCCACAACCACTCATCAATTTTGCTTTCCCCACCTACCCCCTTAGCTCTTCCCACTGACACCCCAAGGCTGGAGGCAGATAATAAAGGAATCCTGTTTCTCGGGGCCAGAGGGATAACCTTGCTCAGTCCATTAGCAAAGGAGGTTCAGTGTTCATTGGCGTGTTTGGAAGGGGCCCCATCAGAACACTCCCAACACACATATCAAATCATACATGTGGTTCTGGACACCCAGGACAGAGCTCTAAAGGATGCTTCCAACTAGTTAAAATGCCAGTAGGGCTCTTGCGTCTTCCTTGGGTACTTGGAATTCAGCCTGGGCCAGTAGCAAACTCTCTCTGAGGACTGTCAGAACCAGACCTCGTCCTCTAGGAGCCAGTTTGCTCTCTAAAAGCGTGCCTGAAATTGGGAACCTTAAGCACTCCCCTGCTTTTGTTGGGCTGGGGTGGTGAGCTCTTGGATGCCTACAAGAGGCCTCCTATCTGAAGAAGGCAATTGTTGTCATCTTCAAGGAACACTGGCCTTAAATTATGTTGAAGTAGAATTAAAAATAAGGATTTTGATAAACTCACAGACATGAGATTCATCAGAAGATTTTAAGAGAAGTTACCTTTTTGGATATGACATCAGAGAAAGTAACTACCAGGATTTTTCATCATTTGGCCCAGCTTCCTAGCCGAGGCTGCCTTAGAGGCTGGAGGCATGGGCTACAAGCCCAGCTGGAACCAAGCCTATCTCTCCGGCCCTGAGAAGAGCCATGTCTCCAGCGCCATTGCTGTTTCATCTGCTTCCGGCCTTGGGGCATCATTGAGAAGAGCTACGCAGAACCTCTCCCTGTGCCCTAGAATGGGAATAATGATAGTATCCATCTACCTCACTGGGCTGTACAGAGGACTAAAAGAGCTGCTATTTGTAAGAGCCCCTGGAACAGTGCCCAGTATACAAGTATACATTTATTTAATGAATAAATAAATGTCTAAAGTCATTCGTGCTGCAAGAGACCTTTAGAGATGGTCAAATCCCTTTATTTTAGTGTCATGGATGACACACCTGATTGGACGGACTGCTGACTTTACCTAGCAGACACTTTGGAACATCCCTGTGAGCTCTACATGTCATTTGAATGACAACTTGAGCGGTGGCGACGACCACTGCGGCATTAGCATGCACCTGTTACGAGAGCGTTCTTCAACATCACAGTGGTTTAAACATCTTTTCTGCCCCTCAGAACCTCATGGTTCAGAATGTGAGGTGAAGTCTATAGAGGGCATTTCCTGCCGGACACAACACCTGTTCTGTATATGTGATGCCACCCTATTGCGGGGTGTAAGTGTGATAACACCATCCAGCAAAAGGTCACACGGAGGTGCAGGGGAGGGGAAGACAGCCTGGACCCAGAGACACCTCTCCATACATACACACAACTGATCTTATCAGCTCCAAAACACAGTGCAGTTTCCTGAATAGGAAAGGCACACTCAGCGATGGCCAGTTAAGGAAGCACTTGGGGAGGATTTAATTATAGGGGATAAAGATGCCTCTGGCTTAATGTGTTTGTAAAGATGCTGGCTTTACCCCTTGTTTGCATGGGACGGAAGGAGACTATAGCAGAAATCCACCCTCCTCTGCACTCATCTGATGGAAAACGAGGGTAATAAAAGCACCTTCATCATAGGGTTGTGAACCTGAATTGTGCTTATGCACATGAACAGTGCTGTCATCACTATACAAAGCAATCTTGGCGATGCCCAGGGTTGGCAAGGATGCCATCCTATAGATGACAGAGCATTGCCAGCAATTTGGGGCTGTGGAGGCTGCATCTGGTCCATGAGATGCTATATTTTTGCTGTGCCTTCAGATCCCCTCTAGAAATCTGTTCTTCAAATATTTGGACAGTAAATCATTCAGAGGAAATCAGCTACACTCTGTTTGCCCTAAGGACAGAACAGGAGAGAAGAACCAGGTTTCCACTCCAGCAACGGGACTTTGTTTAGATAGTAGGAGGAACTGGCCGTCACTAAAGATTAACTTTAAAACCTAAGTAATTTGGGCTAATTGGAGGGAGATGAGTCTGAATCACTTAAAATTCCGAGTTAGACCCTATTTTTAAATGAAATACAGTTTTTTGCTTTCAAGTACTTGCAGTGACTCAAACTAGGGTGCTTTAGTAAATAAGAGCGGTAATTAGCATCTTGTCTCTTTGGAGGGAAACGTAAGCTCCAGGAGAAAATTTTTAACAGAAGCACAAAAGTGAGCTTCAGCCTACCCCTGTCAAATTACTCCCAATTTTGAATCTGCAGGGGAACTACTAAACTGGGGATAGAGTTTGGTGGCCGAGGGTAGTGGTGGATAATTTTTTCCTGAACTGTCTTTGAAAAACAGGGCATTTGAGATGGTCCAGGCATGGAGAGCACAGGGCCGATGACCTCCCCAGTTTCCTTCAAGCTCTCTGAGTTTATTTGCCTTACGGCTTAGCTTTTTAAACATAAGGAGAATCCTTTAAGCCCTTGTGTCCTAGTCTTGTCATTTATTACCACCATGTGGCAATGCTAGGGTATGAAGCCAATAAATCATTTGGACGGGAAGTGACTACAGGCCGGATTAATTTCATTATCATCCTTAAGCAGATAGGTGTCTAGCACGGCCGATGTCTCCAGTGAAGACTGATGTTCTATCTCTCCTGACAGCCCTCCCCCTGGCCTTGCAGACAGCTATGGTGGTTCTTCCTTTTCCCTGCTGGAGTGGCTCGTCCTGCCTTTCCCTCTGAAGGGCAGTGAGTGGCCACACCCCCTTCCTTTGTGGTCCACCTCATGCCACACGGTCGCCAGGGGACTCCAAAAAAGCCTGATCAGGGTGGCCCAGCCCTCCTGGCACAGCTGAGCAAGACAAGCACATTAGCTCGCCAAAGGAGGGCACCAAAGGAGGGCGTCTGTGGTGGTGTTCCTTCTAAACCCGCCGAGACAAACTCGCTACCCAGACAACACGGAGGGAAGGTGACTGCCAGGCTGCAAGCCTGAACTTCAAACTGATGCCCTGATAAGCCCCTAAGTTCTTACACTTGCCAGGCAGCACCCCTAACTCTAACCTCCTATCCATTAAATTCCCTCTGGAGCACAGCTTCTCTGAGTGTGGCTCACAGGCATACATACGCTCAGAAAGCCCCCTGGGGATTTTTACAAGTTCCAAAAGCTGAGACCGACAGCTCTTGGCAAGATGACTTCAGGGTTGGAAAGTCTGAGCTGCGGGAGGGTGAGCACAAAAGCAAGTCGCTACCCTGTGGCTCTCTCTACTGGATGCTCTCCGGCAAAGGCTCCGGTGGCGCCCACCCAGGTGTCACCCAAAGAAGCTATTTCCAAACTAGTTCTAAGAACCACTTAGCCAAAGAGCCCAAGGAAGAGGTGTCCTCTGTTTCTGGCCACTGCCCAGCAAGCTCTGCTCAAGAATGGTCTCTGCTTCCTCCCTGGAGAGGGGAGAGCCTGCAGGATCCAAAGGCCTTCTCGGTGCAAACACATTTCCTGGGGACTTCGCAGGCATGAAAGACAGGAGGCACCTACTCTCCGAGTGGCCTGGGAAGCTGCTCCTGCTGTTTCCTCTGTCTCTGGAAGACCAACTGCATCAGTGCATCCACCTGCCATCTTGGCTGCTCCTTCACCCAGGGACTCTCCCACCTGCATGGTTTATGGTGCCCATCTCCTGCCCATCTCTGAGTCCCTCTGCTTGTCTCCATCTCAAGAGCCACCATGTCATTTCTGACCAACATCATTCCTCACCTGAAATTCTTCCAGTGACAGCTTCTAAGGGTCTCCCTAGTTCCAGCTTTGTACCTCTTATAACCATGCTTCAGACACAGCCACAGGCATGTCTGAGACACAAATCTCCCCTGCTTAAGATCCTCCCGTGGCTTCTTGGGATTATTGTTGGGACAAAAGTCCAATTCCTGAAGGAGCTGATAGGGCTGTACAATCCGTATCTCCCCTTCTTGCCTCCCTCCCCACTTCTCTGCCTTCCTCTCAGTCAGGCTTTGGCAGGTACTGGTTAAGCCACAGACCCTAGAACCCAACTATCCGAGTCCAAATCTTGGCTCTGCCACTGACTAGCTGCTGGTAAACGTCCCTGAGTGTACCATCTATAAAGAGGGTTAGTAACAGCACCTACCTCATAGGACTGCTATACATGGGACGGACTAAGCCAGAGTAAGGGGCAATGCTGAGGGCAGCACCTGGCACAGAGTGAGGCCTCCATCACATTGGCTATTACTGGCTCTCACTGCCAACCCCCCCCCCCCAATCTCAAGTTTTAGGCAGCTGCAAGTCTTTGTGTGGAAGAACATGTGTCTTCTCCCTTCCCTGTGGGGTGTGCTGGTGCCCCATCCCGGACCGGGAAAGTACTCATTCTTTAGGTCTCTGCTTAGTCAGCTTTCTCCATGAATCTTTCTCTGATGCTCTGAGCCACAGCACTCTTACACCATAGGTGTTGCCTCATACTTGTCTTCCCCCTTCTTCATCCCCTCCCGGGGGTGGTAGGCTCCTTGAAGTCAGGAACTTGGTCTTTATTCCTCTTGTGTACAACCCGGCACTAGCAGATATTCACCAAAGATTTGGATAATGTTGCTGAATGACTCCCAGTATTCATCTCAGTGTGTTCCAGAACCTTCCCTGCCTCCTGTCTGTCTGTCTCTCTCTCTCTCTCTCGTGCCATGTAAGCTTCTCAGATCTCTGAGAGGTCATGTGCACCCCACACCCACCTTGGCACTCACCCAGCATGTGGGTCAGGGGCCAAAGGAGCTATTACTGGGGACACCTGGGTGGCTGAGTCGGTCAAGCATCTGACTTTGACTCGGGTCATGATCTCATGGGTTTGTGGGTTCGAGCCCCGCATTGGGCTCTATGCTGACAGCTCAGAGCCTGGAGCCTGCTTCAGATTCTGTGTCTCCCTCTCTCTCTGCCCTTCCCCTGCTCTCGCTCTCTCTGTCTGGCTCTCAAAAATAAACATAAAAAAAGGATGTATTACTGAATATTGCAAATGAACAGGAAATGTAGGACTTCTTCAGAAAAAAAGGACCTCACACAAAGGTTATGTGGCTCTCTGAACACCGTGGAGACCTGTAAGGTGAAGTTTCCCACCCAAACTGCCGGATGGAGACTGATCAGTCACATGAAAATCGAAGGCCTTGGGGAGGGGGGGAACTGTTGACCACGAGACACAGTAATGCCCAGGCTCTTCCAAATGAGCAACTAAAGAAAACTGCTGACCTGCAAACAAGCCATCTGCAAATTGCCAGAAAATGGTGGGGGTCCCGTAATTTTTTTTTTAAACAATTGCCGGGGTACTACCTGGAGATGATCTATCGAGGCAGGATTGGGCCTGGGGAAGGAGATGTTGGGGGCTAAGCCTTGCTCTTACCTCATAGTGGCCAATGGTATTTAGCTTGGTTATTCCATCTTCGAGAATCACAGATGAACTGTCAATATCCAGAAGTTCTTTTTGTCGTGTGCCCACTTGCAGCTCTGAAAAGAAAAAAAAGAGTGCATTTTGTTCTCCTTTGAAATTGAAGTGAGAAAGTTTAAATGCTATTCTGTAATGGTAGCAATTATTATTTATAAATAAATAAATCTTAGATAAATTGGTTAATGTGTGTCTGAAAGTTTGGAGATATATGAGCCAGACTGGTAGCCTGAGTTTTGTTTCTGTTTTGTGTATAGGGCTCTGACTTTTAGGACTACATTTCCCTGGGGACGCCTGGGTGGCTCAACTGGTTAAGCATCTGACTCAAGATCTTGGCTCACGGTTCATGAGTTCAAGCCTTGCATCGGGCTCTGTGTTTGCATGTGGAGCCTGCTTGGGATTCTCTACACCCCCACCTCTTCCTAGCTCATTCACTCTAAGTAAATAAATAAACTTAAAAAAAGAAAAAAAGACTACCTTTCCCTGAAGCTTGTACTCCGAGGCTAAGCCTGGAAGTAAAGCCAATGGAAACAAAATAATGCATCCTTACAGGGACTAAGCTCTTCAAAAAATTCCCAAATTTTTAAGTTCCCAAGCAGGTGCATTGTGAATTATCTTCTGTAGGTCCTTGGGTGGGGGTGCATTGGTGGGCTAATATCTCAAGCCACACCATTCAAACTGTTTTATGGAGATTGCCAACTTGTGCCCTGGAGCTAGAATGTGGCCCACAGATGTGTATTTTTGTGTGTGAACCTACACGACGTTTTACTTATTCAGCACCAACATTCAAAGTCAATTCAGCACCAAGTCACCAGCATTCAAGGCAGGAGATTGCACATAAAAATTCGGACTGATTTCTCTTTAAAAACAAAAAAAACAAAAAACGGAATCATCGGATAATACTGACCACACAGGCCCGCATGCAGTCACTGGCTGAAGCCGAGTGGCACCGATCCTTTAGATGGCATGTCTTTCCCCCCAGTTAAGTTGGGTCCTGCCATTTCCCAGTGTCCTAGATGGGCCAACACCCCTATTTATGGTAGTTCCTGCCCCTGTGGGCATCTGAGTTTGTGAGCCTCTGCTAGAAGCGGTCTTAACCACAGCTGCTTCCGGTATTGGATTTCTATACAATTTATGGCTGGTTCTAAGGCTGTTGCCCTCGTTTTCTGGGGCCAGCCTTGGAGGTAGTTTGCAAGATCATCACACATGCAGAAGCCTGACATGGCTGGAATGCAGTGTTCCCATTTCCCATCAGAAGCTTCTAATAGACTTGTTCTGCTCCCTACTTTCCTGCATCAGGAAGAACCGATGGGCTCAAACACAAGAACGGCAAGAGGTTGCTACTGCTGACCCGGCACTGGCAGGACTAAGGCCACTGGACTGTTTTCCTCACGCTTGTTGGCTCCATGTGCCCAGCTCTTGGCAGCCAGAGCCACACTTTTGCAAAGGTAGGGAAGGAAGTTGACAGTCCAGGTCAGGTGATGGTTTCCCGTCTGGGGCTGCCTCTTTGGCCCGGCCCCTAACCAAATGAGCGAAAATGGTCTGCAAGTGCCCAACAGTCCACCCAACAGAAGGACACAGAAAAGAGGCAGAAGAGAGGTGCCTTAGTCCCTTCTTTGAAGCCAAGTCCTGTAGTTGCACGCTTGCGTTGTTTCACCCCAACTTGCCAGGCCCTGCCTCCAGGCTTTTCTAAATGGCCTTTTAGCAGGAGGTTTGGCTTGGAGAGCCAGGTGGGGTGATTTTAATTGCCTGCTTCGTGGAGGCTACGACTGTACATTGAGGGGAGATAAACCTTGTTACGCTGTCTGTCACTGCTGTGATTTTACTCTTCTTGCCTGTCCCATTATCTGCTATAAAATCCCACGACAGTCTCTTGGGAGGGCTGCGGGGAGCTCAACTTTAAAATGTTGATGAACATTTGAGTGGAGCGGAGCCCTGTTAGAGCGCTCATGCATATGTTCTCCTTTGCAGTAGACCAGTAGAGCCCGAAAATGAATTCATAGCAGATGCTGCTTCGCGTTGGGGAGGATGGAGAATATACTTAATGCAGGACGCGATTAGCAGAGACGAAGATGACCTTTCCAGTGTGCTTCAGTTAACACCCAGAGTCTGAGCCACCCGCTAATGACACACAACAAACAAATCAAATGCCAATGTGAAATGCAACACACACACAGGGCGCGGGGTTTACACCTTTTTGTACTTCTTGACGCAAGGTGAATCCATTCAGTCTCAGGGTTACCAATCTCATGAATCTGATTTACAAACATAATATTTTTGTGAAAAAAAAAAAAAAAAAAACCCGAAAACAAAACTCCAGCATCTTTGAAGGATAACGCTGCCTAGGAAAAAATCATGTACATGCTCTTGGGAAAGCAGTACAGTCTCTTGGCCCCCAGACATGCCCTCTGGGAACAGCCCCAGGCCACGTAAGTTTCAACAAACAGAAGCATGCATGCTGTGGGCAGGGGGGAAAGGGAGAGACGGAGGGAGAGAGCCGGCGGAAGAGACATTCATCAGGGATTGGGACAGAACAGCTCCCTCCTTGCCTTACCAAGACCGATTTCATTCAGCTGAAGTCCATAAGGAGAGCCATTTTTGCTTAGGAATGCCTGGAAAATCTTTTCTTTGGCTTGGCCTATGGTATCACAATCAAGAACGTTGACTGAAATATTCCGACAGACGTCTGCACTCTCATTTTCTGGGATCTTTTCAAAGACGACGTTTAATGCCTGCAAGAATACAAACAGGTTTCCAAGTCTATTAGATAATTGCAATCTGAAAGGCTTTCATAAAAGACACAAACCTTGGTGAGTCCCACTAATACCTCTGACAGCACATTAGCAAACACTGTGTCCCATTACACTACTTTAATCTTTTTTCCATAATCCATTCTTTTCAGGCATAATGGAAAGGAAAACAGAAAAGTTAAAACTCTCATTACAGAGCAAGCATTGGATAAATATATCCGGGAGTAAAATATATATACACATAAATGTTCTAGAAGTGGTGATTTCTAATTTCATCTTCAAAAACAAAACAAAACAAAACACAAACAAACAAACAAACAAAAAACCCCCCAAAACTGGAAAGGTTCCACAGTACATGAGGGCAGACTGGTGATTATCTTTTTTTTTTTTTTTTTTTTTTTACTACATTTATGTAGTTTTGAGAAAACAAGTGGAACATAGCGGTGGGTGGGAGGGGCAGAGAAGAGGAGACAGAGTCTGCCAGAAGCAGCCTCGAATACAGGCAACAGCTTGATCAACACAGAGCCTGATGTCAGACACGAACAAGTAAGATCATGACCTGAGCCGAAGTCGGACGCTCAACCGACTGAGCCCCCCAGGCGCCCCGATTGTCTTTTTTAGTAACAGTACCACAGAGTCCCAGAAGTGAAGTTCCAGGTGACAGGGAAGGTCAGGGAGGTCCCCGTATTGATTATGCTGAAGAGGTTACTTTTTAATATGCAGCATTAATTGCAATAACATTTATCTCCCCGTCCACTTTCAAGATCTTCAGTTTCCCAAGCCCTCATTAAAACCCTGAGATCCCCACCCCGTACTAGTACCCTTGCATTCACTGCTTACGTCTCAGTGCCAGTTCACATTCTCCTAATGCAGCAAAGCCTCAGAATCAGACTGATGGGGGAAGGGAAGGGCTTTGTGAGTGTGTGAAAACACAGAACGAGGGAGTATTTCAAAACAAATTTAAAAGCAATTTCGGGTTTACTTTGAGAACAAACAAACACATCTAACACAACAACGTTTACCTACTACAGCTCCTTGGGGGGACAGATTCAGGGAAGAGCGTCTTGTCATTAGCATCACATACAGTTTAGATGCTGAGGTACCTTGGTAATCTCAGAATCAAGGGTATGGTGTGAAATGCTCAGTTACTTAATGTTTTTGAACCTGGCTGTAATGAGGGAATGTAAAATGATTAACTAATGGAAGTGTTTTTGTTTTT